ACATTATAAATTATGTTTTTTATAATTTTAATTATTACAAATATTATAAATTATTATTTAATTATTTATTATTATTATTTTATATTATTTCACCATCTTTTAATGTTTCTTTTTGTCAATAATTAAAAATATACTTCGCAGATTACTATTTACCATAGAGAATATAACCACTAGAGAGCGTGTAGGCAGATTTCTTCTAAGCGTACGACTCACTACTGCGGGCCGGGGGACGAGGAGGAACGCGTGGCTGCAAATGGTCAAGTTGCGTTGTTATGGCTATCTTTAGCGTTGCTCTTCTTAATAAAGGAAAATATTCGTTATCGATAAAATGGATTTTATCATTATGAAAAATTCTCAATTAAAATCATATAAATAATATTTAATCAAAATCAATCAGTTAAACGAAAACATGTATTTATTATATTATTATTGATTTTTAAAATGAATAATTTTTTATATTTATTTCGAATTAAAGTTTAGGGGTCCTGATTGTTCTTTGTAAAAAAATATAAACAAGCGTTAAATTTGTAAATTATGCATCTTGTTAATTCAATTAAATGATTTGTTGATTCTATTACATATTGATGAAATATCCGGGAATCAATAATACCTAATCAGAGATTTTAAAACCGTTCTCATAAAATAATTGGTATTATATTTCGAAGACAGTACTTTTGAACCACTCTCATTGATCGCCCTATTATTAAAAATTTTACAACGACGACAAATATCTATTACTGTAGTGGATCCGTACAATGACTTGTCTTTAGTGTCTTTTTAAAATTGTAAGCCGTTCTGATTTGGTACACCAATCTAACTAATTTAACTACTTAACTATAAACTTTAACTAAGAAAAAATACTGACAAACTGAGAACCTCCTCTTTTTTCTGAAGACGGTTAAAAGTAGATAAGTATTTTTTCACAGTGTGTGAATTGAATAATCTTAATAATTTTATTATTTTCGATATCGGCTTTCAGCTATTAAAGGTAACAGTAAGTACTAATGTTTACGATAAACATACAAAGGGAAAGAAAGGGATAGAAGCATTAGAATTGTCTAATAATAGAACGAGACTTTTCCAAAAGACATCAACGCGCGACTCAACCATGTCGTTATTTACCCGACCACCGTTTTAGATAGACCCCTGCGGTGGCTCATAATCTGAATTAATCAACAATAATTTTCATATTTTGTACTGTACTTAGCAATGAAAAGTTACTCCATTATTTTTGGACATCTGTCCTGGAATGTTTCCCACACCACTTCACTGCGCATGAAGGCATTTTGATGCATTATAATTGCATAAAAATTATAAAAATTTGCATTAATTTAGCGTGCACACAGGTCTAACACTTGGACAATACTAAAATGGTTAATACTACCATAGCCGATGCATAGGCGACAAAATACTAATAGTTTTCGAGCGTCGGGGCACTGTATGCGCAGTCAAGTGGTTATATAGTCTTTGCTATTTACCGACGGCAGCGCGGCTATAATACTTATATTCTACAAATTTTCAGGGACAGGCGGTCTATGCTTTAGTACGTAGCGATCGTTATCCTGTTCTCTAACCTCCATGAGGGCGACAATAAACCTGTAGTCTGTAGCTGCTGTAGCCACTTGACACCAGGTCGAATCTTAGTTCGTTTTTTTTTAATTTATTATATATTTAAGGAAGTTTTGGACAACTACAACCAACTATAAACAAAAACGTTGCCTGAGGACTAAGATGAACTACTGTAAACCTGTAATTATATCGGGCTCTCTACAAAATTTAGACAACTTTATAAGCCAGTGCTTCACTACACTCCCACCTGGTGGCAGGTAGTGATGCAGTCCTAGATGGTAAATCGCACAGCCTTAAGTCTTAACGTAACAAAAGTCTATCTACTCTTGCATTGAAGACGCCTAGATTGTACATACGGAATAAAAGACAAACACTCGTATATTGCATGCGTTCCTAAAAACCATTTTGAATAAATAAATAAACCATAACCTAAGATTGACCATGAAATTATACACAATGGGAAAAAATTGTCTTGTTATGCTAAATACGGGACACTTTTTGCATTACAAAAAAATGAAGTTATTTTTTAAACCGTTGTGAAAAATAAGATAAACACCATAAAACACTGGCGCTGTCTCGTCAAACATTGGCCCAACATTTCTAGAGCAACGCCTCATATTGTCAAACATTGGCCTAACATTTCTAATGCCTCCGGGCATCGTGTGAACCGTTCCTTAATTTCGTCTCCGTTCCCGGTAGACACAAAAATGCCTATAATGCGCTCTAACCACAGCCCATGCTTCTACGGAACAATTAAATTTAACGGTAGACGAAAGTATGAGATAATAGCGGTAAAAGTTAAGTTTACAATAATGACGAGGCTTAGTTTGACATACATGAGAGTAGAAAATAAACAGGGAAATGATTACACTCTCGCAGAATGGCAGCATATAAACATATAAAAGTGTTCATAAATGCATATTTTTTCGTTATGTAGTTTTAACAAAATAAAATTACAATTATTATTTTTCGTAGTAAAGTTACACCCATAGAAATATAAAACACACGTTACACCTTATTGAAATAATAAATAGATGGAGTGACGACCTGGTAAGACATGCAGGAAGTCGATGGATGCAGGTAGCTCAGGACCGTGCTTTGTGGAATTCCTTGGGCCTATGTTCAGCAGTGGACTTGTGAAGAGCTGTAATGATGATGATATTCAAATTCTTTATTTGGAGATTTGGAATTAAATAAGTCAACAAATATTTTGTTCTAGGTGTTATTGTATTAGAAAACCTATTTTTCAATTGCATATATTTCGAAAATTTGTTTTATGTATTATGAGTAAAATTTATTCTATTAGTAAAATTATTTTAAAATAACCTACCTAAAAAAATCATTTTATTAAATGATAATCACGGATCGTCAAAAATTAATTAAATTAATTAATGCATGGATTCATCGTGAATATCTAAATGTTTATGGGTCTTCTCATACGAGAAACGTAATGCTCGCCACTGAGCTCCCGGGTATAACGGCAACATTATGCTGCTGCATTTTGTACGGTGAATAACGACAATCCGACACCCTATGTACTGGTAATGTTCAATTTAACTTTACAGAAGTGACGATGACAAGCCATCATTCATTTTGATTCATAATATTAATTAAAAAAAAATGTTACTTACAGTGGAATTTTCTTCCGTACCGTGGAGGTGATTTACATTAGATAAATTGCACGTGATACCCAAAGTTAGAACAATTATTTGTCATACAAACACCTGTTCAGTGCGGGATTCGAACCCGTGGTATCACTGCTTAGCTAAGATAATATTTTAGACTTAATAAATAATTGGGATTGAACTCAACAACATCCAAGCGTAATCCGATGTAGTCTCCTAAAATTGAAATAATATCACCTCCAGACTTTCCAAAACGGCGGAGACAGCAGTGGCAAGGGACGCCCCAGACCACGGAGGTTACCTCCATGACCCAGACATAAGTCGACCAAATTAATGATACATTGAAGATTGGCCAGATTAAGAGTATACTTAACCGAATATACACACACACACACACACACACACGCACGCACGCACGCACGCACGCACGCACGCACGCACGCACGCACGCACGCACGCACGCACGCACGCACGCACGCACGCACGCACGCACGCACGCACGCACGCACGCACGCACGCACGCACGCACGCACGCACACGCACGCACGTACGCACACGCACACACAATATATATATATATATATATATATATATATATATGAGTGTGGATATATATATATATATATATATATATATATATATATATATATATATATATATATATAATATACATCCACACTCTACATGTATCACATATATATAAGAAATATAATATATATATATATGGATATATATATATATAGATATATGTATATATATATATTTGTATTTTTCTATATATAGGGTAACTAATAGTATATATCCAAATATATATATATATATATATATATGGGTGTGGATATATATATATATATATATATATATATATATATATATATATATATATATATATATATATATATATATATATATATATATATATATATATATATATATATATATATATATATATATATATATATATATATATATATATATATATATATATATATATATATATATATATATATATATATATATATATATATATATATATATATCCACACTCCTTTACATCCACATTCTACCTGTATCACATAAGCATACAAGAAAATAATGTAACATTTTCCTGTGTAATCTTAATCACATTCGCTTAAAAATAATCATAAGTACTTATATGCTTATATACACATAGTATTATCCGATTAGGAGATAATTTACACTAAATCTTTAATATTATCCTAAAACTAAAAACTACACCAAAAACCTCTTTTGTAATGTCTATAGATACCCTTGATAAACGTAAGTAATGCCGGCATTATCTCAACACCACAAAAAAAAAACTTCTAATCTGCTCTTTAAAAAAGTCATTTAAAATTTCCGGAGTATACATTAACTCACCGATTACATGTTACTTGGAATTCCAGTAATCAATGGAATTTAACGTTTACTCAGCGTACGTACGATATGTAATATTCTTGGAATAGTCACTTTATTTTGTTATTTTCGCATATTTTTAAAAATTCTATGAACAAAATAAATAGTCAATTTTTCCGGCTTTACTTATATCCTATCTAAAAAGTTCCAAGTAGTTAAAAATCGTACATGAAACAAACGAATTGATAAAAAGGCAATCCATAGAATTGTTTGATAAAAAACCTGAAATAAATGTATAAAAATTGCATTCAACTTTCGTAAGAATTCTAAAATTCTCGCTAAAGTAACTAAAAAGTCTCTAGTTATTAAAACCTAATTACATACCTAGATCTGACTATGTACAAATAATATTTATAAACATTAGCACAAATAAAAAATAAATTAAAATACCTTTTAAAGAGTTTATAGTGCATCTTATTTTCTGTTATAGACACAACTCACATCTCACGAAATAACACAAACACAAAACCACACGCACACAAAACACAGGTCGCGAACACAACAGCACTCAAGAGGAATTTTCAACGACACGTCCAACGCGCCGGTAATATCGAAAAAGTCTAAATTCAAAATGGAAGAAGAGCGCGCAACCTTGCGTGTGCGCAGCCGTGAGAAAGGGACAAAAACTGGTCCGGTAACAGGTGGGGGGACGTACAGGTATGCTAGCGGGGTAATAATACCCCTTTTCGACACTAGTTAGATACCTAGTACTACACAGATAGTTTTATTCAATAATGATTTATTAACTTGTAAAGACCTAGCGAATGTCACTCTGTGGATCGCGAACTACAAACTGATTCACCTGACTAAGTATTTATTTATCATGATTCGCGATCGTACAAGGCTGTGTAGGGAAGAACGTGAGTGAAGAATGTTGTGTAGTGTCCTGCAGTGTTGCCTGTATGTATGTGAACGAGACCCTGTGTAAAATAGCAGCAGTGCCACTTAAGTGTGCTACATGATGACGAAGGACTTAAATTAAAAGATTATATAACGAAATATGAATGAAGAATATTAACTTTAATAAAAAGTAACTCTTCAAAGAAAAAAAAAACAAAAATTTAATAACATTTCTACATAATAGCTTCTAAGGTAAGACATAGTGCACAAAATAATTCAAAACTTCCAAATTCAGAGGCTACATGCATCAAGTAATAGTTATTACAGTCTGTAGATGCCAAAATTTTTCAATTCTTAAGTAATTAATTAAAATTAATATAAATAACACTCGTATATCAATCAAAAAAATCAAGATCGAAACTCAGTGGACCACACCTCCCATTTTTCTCGACTTATAATACATTTGAAAAAATCCGAACGTCCCAAACTCCTAACTAACTCGGCCGAATTTTCTACTGCAACCTACACGAAAGCGTGCTTTGCCTGTAGACTATAGCCAGGTTGGTAAGTCAGGCTTTCATATTGTTAATTTTCTCAACTTTAATATCTCAGATTATCTCAAAAGGTCTATAATGATCGAAGTTTGGTATTAACGAGAATACAGATAACACTTGCGTAAGAAATCTTCCCGCAGAACACATGTAATGTTCTGGTCTTGTGTTTGAATGGGAAAGGCAATGAATGATACTAGTCATCATAAGCAACAAAACATCGTAAACTGAACTTACATTGGTTGGAATTGAATAGAACTGAATTTACAAAGACTTGTTGACAAGTTAATAACTGATGAAGTCCGCTAAAACACTGTTGAAGTGTGAGAGTTTTACATAACCTGCTCAGAAATAATGGTAGTCTGTTTTTTTTATAGAATAAGGGTGACAAACGAGCACACAGTCCACCTGATGGTAAGTGAATGCTGTGGCCCATAGACATCTTACATTCATACTCGATTAAGAATCAAACCGCAGATGCAGAAGAAGGATCTTTACACTCACCATACGAAATACACTAGTATTAAGCTATTTCACGGTGGTATTCTGTGAGAGCGTGCTCCTTCCCCGGTCGAGCCGACCCATTCTTGCTACTACCATAATGTAGCCTTAGTGTGGCTCTACTATGTATGCAAAAATAGTGCTTTTCCCTGCAGTGGGACTTATGTAGACTGTAATTTTACATTTTTACCATTTAGGATAGAAATGGCAAAATGAAATACATCTCTGCTTTCCTAAACGAAACTATGAAGTAATAAAAATACGCTTTACTTAGTAAAGTAATCCAATTTTTTAAGTTTATAAGTAGTAATACCTAATTAAATAACACAATCTATGCCCTGTGAACCCTGTACTAGGTAAACCTGTCTTCAGGCTTCCAGACCTTCCATATTGTATTAGTAGACACTGGTACATTTACAAGCAAACTACAGTATGAATAATTTACACAGTAAGAAACAAATAGTATATGGAAAAATAAACTCAAATCTATATAGTTTACATTTTGTTAAAGATTATAGCCTAACAACTTGAGTTGTGTATGAAGGACAAAGTGATTGGCAGGTGATTGGCAGTTTCTTATTTTATGGTTTGAAAGTGTAGATATGTATGTGTGTGGAATGTGGATATATTAAGCCTCGTTGGTCTAGTGGTTGTAGTAGTGCAACTGCTGATCTTGAGATCTTGGGTTCGAATCCCGGGTCGGGCCAAAAATCAATTATTGAGTTTTTCTGTCAATAAAATTCTCAGTAGCTGCCCGGATTCATGAAGTTGGCGGTGTCTCACCCCGTGCCTCGGAAAGTACGTAAAGCCGTTGGTCTTGCTCCTGATTTCTCTCCCGGTCGTGTCGGTTTACCGTCCCACCGGATTACAAGAGTGAGGGAATAGAGAGTGCACCTGTGCTTGCTCATACACTTGGGCACTATAATCCTGTCCTGCGCCGATGGCTGGTCTCCGTCGAGGCTGACCGCCGTGACCGAAATTCAGTCTGTAGGGCATTATTATTATTGGGGTATCTATTATTATTATTATTAGACATCGAAAATCAGAATTACAGTAATTAATTTCAGCAGAATTACATTATAATAAAGATTTGGGAAATTAACTAGCTAAGACCCGCGTAATAAAATAAAATTATGTGTCTTACCTAGTTTGAGCATCTTCCGCCCTCCGAAAATAATTTTGAAACTTAAAACTTAAAAACTTTTTTTTTACAAATTTTTACGAAAACTTAAAAAATACATTTTAAAACTGAGACGATTTTTTTTTTCGATGGCTTATCATCCTTTTAAATGCTTGGCGGAAAGCTAACACGAGTTTGATTAGAAAGTTACGCTCATTGTTTCTATGCGTGTTTAGATTATGTGATGGCCTGAACAAAAATTGCACAATAGAATAGTCACTTCACTGGCAAATAAAAAACATCTGTCATTCAAATAAAATGCATTTTTCGAACGGTGTAAACAATCAAATAATAAACACGTCGACGATAACTAAAAGTCATCTAAAATATTAAGTTTAAAACTCATTGAAATGGTATTGGAAAATAAAACTTCATTGCTACAGAAATATATTTTTGTAGTAAAAACAAACGGCGCGGCGTGTTGGTATAAAAATGTTAGTAGAATTTTATAGACACTAACTGTTTACACACTAGGGTTGCAATAAATCTAGTTAGCTTTTTTACTATCCAATATAATGTCAATTACTATACTAGTCAAGTTTTATTGTATTTTCATATATTGCTAGAAAGTAGATATGTGTCAATCATTCATATCTCGCGACCGAATTAGTCTAGTAAACTCGGATCGATCATTCAAATGGATTGGACAGACGAATGAACCATGAATACTTTTAAGTGTAACACCAGCTCAAACGAACGAATCATTCATGATTGACACTGTCTACTAGAAAGACTTGTGAATAAGTCGATTTTTTTTAAAGTAAAAAGACGTTTTCATTCATTCATACATCAAAGTCCACTGCTGAACAAAGGCCTCCCCATAGATTGACTCTTATGGGGGATATTTGTAAAAGTTGCCACCGAAGTTTGTGATTATTTTTCTAGTTATTATTAGGAATACATTGCTGCCCATTTCTGCATTGTTAGACGGCTATTCTTACACCGTCACTATACGGTAAAAAGACGTTATCGCTAAATTAAGACTTTCGACTATATAATGTATCTGTGTTACATACATACATGAAATATGTGTGTTTTACATTCATACAATCTTATGTATGAGCAGCGCGACGATTTATTTAAATATTTTAATTACCTACACAAAATCATAAGTAGTCGGTTGATTCTTAAGGGGAAATATAATGTCAAATGGCTTAGCAAGATCCTTCGTTATGCCGAAAATATTGCAGCATTAATTTTGAAATAAATATATGGTAAAGTTGAGGATTAATGTTAAGGATTATGTTAGACGAAAACGTGATTTAGTAAAATTTTCTCGATAGAAAAAAAAATCCAAAGTTACCTCCAAAATAAACAATAAACCGCTGTTATTCATAAAATACTTTAAATAAGATCATGAAACTTTGCATACTAACTGAACTAACTATAAAGCAGTGCTTATGTTATTTACTTTTTTTAAAATACCGTTATTTTCACTGTAAAAAGAAATTACCTAAACTATCGGCGTCTTGAGCTTGATTCCAGTCGCCCCGTTAGTATCGCTTAGGCTTTTGAAGGGAGAAGTTGTGTCGCTTACGATCAGAATATACATTACGCAACAGTACGACGTAAATTTAAAATGGGAAATAACCGTGATAAAAATAAGAAGCGGCTGGGTTGGCGTTAAGAAACAGGCATAAATATGATAAACCTAATGAAATAAGTGTCTAACGACCTTTCTACTTACAGTATTAGTGATTACAAGCATATCGGTACATAGCATACGACGCGCGGGGAAGTGGGGGCGAAATTAGAATTTGAGCTGACTTACTCTATCCTCTTAAACTACTTTTGCCACGTATGTACATTATATGTACCTTCTGTATTTAAACTTAAAATAGGTACATTTAAATCTAATAGTGTTATTTACATAGTTCATTATATTAAACTTATTAATAATTACACATATAAATATTAATTATAACTATTATTTTTATTTTAATATTAACTATAACTACACGTTTAGTTATACAGACACCACGCTTTCAACTTTCTTTTAAATATTTCTTTTTACCACATTCATCTTCGGAAAATATCTCATTGAAAATTAGACATTTTTTGTCTTCTTGCCGTAGTTCTTAATCCTATGCTCCACGTTTTTATTCGAGAGTAATATATCTGCTAAATGTTGTAACTATTTTAAACTCTAGACATTTAAAGCAGCAGTAGAACGTATAGACGGTAACTTTACTTACGTTTATTACACAGTGAAAACAGCAAGTTGCGTGTTAGATATGCGGTTATAGACCAAAATCAGCGACTACAATCGCGTACCTAATTACAGAGGTTCGCCGAGATAGAATCGTTTGAGCAAAACCGTTGCCGACTCGTGTCGGGTTAC